GTATAAGATGCAACGGAGTATAAGACGCACCAAGATTTTGAAGAGGTAATTTTTTTAAAAAAGGTTTTGCACTCTGCAGGCCTCCCAAACCCTCTGCATGCCTCGTTTTTTGTGAAAAAACAGGGCATACAAAGAGTTTGAGAAGCTTGTAAAGTGCTCCTGTGAATTGGGGGGGGGGGCGCGAGGAGGGGCAAAAACGAGCAAAAAAATGACCCATTTTTCATTCATTTTTGCCCTCCTCAGCACCCAGGAGCACTTTGCAGGCCTCACAAAGCCGATCCACGTCCATTTTTGCAAAGGGGGCGGCGGGGTTTTGGGAGGCCAAAAATGTTGTATTCAGTGTATAAGGCGCACCCAGATTTTCAACCTCTTTTTTTTTTGGGGGGGGGGGGGAGATGTGTCTTATACTTCAAAAAATACGGTAAATCCATGTCTAATTTTTAAAGCAAGTTACTGGCCTTTGGGGTTGAAACAACAGGATTTGAAGCATTAGAGAGGTCTCAAAATCCCCAAATCATATATCCAAATTATGAAAATCAAAGGGGGGGAGGAGGTGGAAATTGAATTGGTGTGCTTCTTTTATACAGGACATCAAATTTAGCTGAGCTTCCCACCGGATTTTATTTTTTTAGGGTCCAAAACCTCCGGTCTTGAAGTCCAGACGGATCCACACCCAATTCATTCATCACTTTCAAATAACACTTAAAACAAACAAACAGATGTTTCCAAAACACCAGTCGGTGGATACGCTACCAATGATATGTTGCACGAGAATTTTGATGGACAAAATCAAGATGTACGGGATGCTCTTGTGCAGCCACTGAAGGAGGTATTTGAGTTCCGAGAGAGAACTGTCTCTTTGTTCTTCCGCGGACGAACCCCCCGAGTTACCGCTTCTGGTTTCGCCGGGCGTCTGGCCGTGTGGCCAACTCTGAGTCCCCAACCGCGAATGTTGTCGGCAGCCAGCGTTGGCCTCTGGCTCCCCGACCGCCGAGGTCATTTGGATGTGAACGTCCCCTCCGTGCTGGCAAGGTTCCTCTCCTGGAGACCGCGTGGCGTGAGGGCCCTGGCAGGGGGGGCTGTGACTATGGCCATTGTTAAGTCCACTGTGCCGAATGTTCGAATTGGACTGCATGGTACGGAACGGGTGGTGACCTGCTTCCACGTGTTGTTTGGCGGTGTGATGATTCCTAACAGGAAGAAAGAAACAAACAGTCAGGCTCCGTTTTCAGCTGCGATGAAGAACCAATAGCAGAAATTTTGAATAGTTCGGAGAACCGGCAAATAGGCTGGCCCCGCCCCNGTGCAGAGAAGAGCAACAAAGAGGATTAGGGGACTGGAGGCTAAAACATATGAAGAACGGTTGCAGGAACTGGGTATGTCTAGTTTGATGAAAAGGAGGACCAGGGGAGAGGGCAGAACAAGAAGCAATGGATGGAAACTAATCAAGGAGAGAAGCAACTTAAAACTAAAGAGAAATTTCCTGACAGTGAGAACAATTAATCAGTGGAACAACTTCCCTACAGAAGTTGTGAATGCTCCAAAAGTGGAGGTTTTGCCTGATTGTCACTTAACAGCTGCAGTGATTCACTTAACAATTGTGGCAAAACAAGTCACAAAATGAGGCGCAATTGACTTGGCAACTGCCTTGCTTAGCAACAGAAATGTTGTGCTCAATTGTGGTTCTAAGTCGAGGACTACTTATAAATCCCATCCATCCCAACGTAAGGAAAATACATTGACTGGACAAAGGCAGTTCAGACGAACTTGTATTAGATGGTTTAATCGGAAATAGGTTTAGTGGTATCAGTATGATAATTCAGGTTTAAGGGTAGAGGGTTCCCTTGCACATATGCGCTAGTTGTTCCCGACTCTAGGGGGCGGTGCTCATCTCCGTTTCAAAGCCAAAGAGCCAGCATTATCCGATGATGCCTCCGTGGCCATGTGGCCGGCATCATTAAACACCGAAGGTGCACGGAACGCTGTTACCTTCCCACCAAAGGTGGTTCCTATTTTTCTACTTGCATTTTTTACGTGCTTTCGAACTGCTAGGACACTGCAGCCGTCATAAATATGAGTCAGTGGCCAAGCATCTGAATTTTGATCCTGTGACTATGGGAAGGCTGCTATGGTTGAAAGTGTGTAAAATGATAAGTACCTTTTTTAGGGTTGTTGTAACTTTGAACAGAGACTAAACTGTTGGGACTCCCCATAGGTTGCATTAGGCCTAAAGCCCACAGTACTATCGGTAGTCCTCGACGTACGTCCCCAATTGAGCCCAAAATTTCTATTGTTAAGTGAGAGATTTGTTTTTTGCCCTACTTTACAACCTCTCTTGCCACTGTTGTTCAGTGAGACACTGCAGCTGTTAAGGGAATCTGTCTCCCCCATTGACTTTGCTTGTCAGAAGGTCGCAAAAGGGGATCGCATGACTCCAGGACACTGCAACAGTCATAAATATGAATCAGTTGTCAAGCATCCAAATGTCAATCACCCTCCTAGGGATGCTGCACACTTCATAACAGAGGTGGGTTTCTACCAGTTCGGGCGAACTGGTAGTGGTAATTTGGCCTGGGTCACAGAACAGGCAGTGACCCAGGCTGGCCACGCCCCCAAGCCAGTTCTCTGGTTTCCACTGGCGTTGCCGACATGTTTTTTATTAGCTTTTCATGATCTTCACGCATGCACAGAACAATTTACAGTGAACGACCCATGCGCGAGCAAGATACGTTTAGTGCACACGCAAGCGTGGTGAACCAGTACCAATGCCGTTAGGAATCCACCCCTGCTTCACAAGTGTGGAAAATGGTCATTAGTCACTTTTTTCAGTACCTTTTTCAGCTTCAAACGGTCCCTAAAAAGCTGTTGTAAGTTGAGGACTGTATAAAGTAATATTCAGGAAGTTGACTTATACCCATTGAATCTGGAATTATGCTCATAAATTGCGCCCATCCTTATATAGGTCGCCGTTTCCCCACCCCTGATTTTATTTTTATTTTTTTCATGGTGATGGTTAAGCAAACCTGGTTTTTGGCAGGAAGAGTCAATTGTGGTCACCTGACTGCAGGACCCTGCGAATGAGGCATGGGTGTCAAACACCCAAAATGCAACCAAACAAAGCCTGTGAATCTGAGGAGGTCCATCGTAACTTCAAACAGTCACTAAGCAGTCGGTTATAAGTCAAGGACTACCTAGAATGAGGATTGTTTAAAGGTTTTTTAAAAAGTGTTTACTGTATTTTTCGGAGTATAAGATGCAACGGAGTATAAGACGCACCAAGATTTTGAAGAGGTAATTTTTTTAAAAAAGGTTTTGCACTCTGCAGGCCTCCCAAACCCTCTGCATGNCTCTCTCTCTATTTCTCTATTTCTCTATCTATCTATCTATCTATCTATCTATCATCTACCTACCTACCTACCTACCTACCTACCTACCTACCTACCTAGTACCTACCTACTCTCTCTCTCTCTCCCTACTTACCTACTGAATTTCTCTCTCTCTCCCTCTGTATCCCTCTATCTATCTACCTACTTTTTTTAAAAAAATTGCCTCTTCAAAACCTTGGTGCATCTTAAATAATGTGAGATGGAAAAGAGAAATTTGGGGGAGAGATATCCAAACAACCTATCAAAAAATGATAGAAAAAATTCAGAAGGAAAGATATAAGATATAAGACATACAAAAAGGAGACTAATAGAATATGTATTAAATTAGGAAGCGTGTGAGCTATATTAATACTTATAAATGTGTAAAGTAATTATGTTAAATGCTTATTATATTATATATAAATAATTATATAATTGTTATATAAACATTGAATTTGAAGACACACGTTGCTTATAGAAGATGGATGGAAAGGAAACGACAACTTTTGATTTATTTTTAAAGAGAAGGGAAAAATGATATTGTTTATATATGTAATAAAAAATGAAAATCTGGAAAATATGAGAAGTAAAATGGCTAAAGTTGGAAATAATGGAAATATAATGTAGAATGAATTATGTGTTTTGTGGAAATGTTAAAGGGGAAATCCGGACAACACTTTGTTCACAAAAGAATGGGACTGATTGGGGTAGATTGCAAGGGTGATACCGAAATATAATTTCATGTCATTTTATTCTATTTTACATATTTCTGTATTAAATTATATTGCACCTTATCCTATGACTATTGTATTTTACCCTACTCTTATTTTAAATTGTTTGTATAAGATTTTATTGGTGATACCATTTCCCCGAAAATAAGACCTGATAGACATAGATAGACATAGATAGATAATAGATAGGTAGGTAGATAAGATACAGATGATAGACAGGTAGGTAGGTAGATACATAAATAGACAGACAAGATAAAGACAGATAGATAGGTAGATAAATAGATGATAGACAGAGGTGATAGATAGATAGATAGATAGATAGATAGATAGATAGATAGATAGATAGATAGATAGATAGATAGATAGATAGATAGGTGATATACAGGACACATTGATTTTATAGATAGATAATGAAAATGATAAAACAGACAAGATAGACAGATAGGTAGGTAGATACATAGATAATAGATATACAGATAAGATAGACACATAGACAGGTGATATATAGGATAGATTTGATATATAGCAGATGGTAGAGATAGATGATAGATTAGACAAATAGATGATACAGAGAGAGAGGTAGGAAGGAGAAATAGATGATAGATGATAGAGAGAAATACAGACAGATACAAGCAGATGATACATAAAAAGGCAGAGAGAGAGAGAATTAAATGAATGGATGAATGAATGGGTGGAAGAAATAATACGTAGATAGGAAGCGAGTGGGCGCCACGTGTGACTTCAGACGGCAGCTGGCGGCAGAAGCGCATGCGCAGCCGACTGTAGGTTTAAAAAAAAAGACGAGAAATGGTTGCTTGAGTCGGCCGTCGACGCGCCTGCGCAGAGCCAGCCTGCCTAAAGTCAAGCCATTGCGCACGCGCAGCAGAGGTAAGTGGGGAGGGCTTGGAAGCCAAGGAGGCGAGAGGAAGCGGTTGGCTAAGGTCAACGGCCGCCGTCGCGGTCTCCGCGCATGCGCCCAAGCGGCGGCGGCGGTAGATGGGGTGGGTTGGGTGGCAGCGTGGGCGTGGCCGCCTCCTTTTCCCACGCCCCGGGAGGCGGGGCGGAGTGGGCGGGGTGCGCTTCTTTTTTTCCCGGCGTGCCCCGCGCCCGCGCTGGCTGTCTCTGGCCACGTCCCCGGGCCACGTCGCTCGGTGCCCGCTGTGCGCTCGCCATCTTCGCCGCCTCGGTCCCCGGTTCCTCTCCCTCCGACGCCGCCATGAACGTCTTCCGCCTCACCGGGGACCTCTCCCACTTGGCGGCCATCATCATCCTGCTGCTGAAGATCTGGAAGACCCGCTCGTGCGCCGGTGCGTGGCGTGGGGGGGGGGGTCGTCGTGCCCCCGGGGGGGGGAAATATGTGGTGGTGGTGGAGGGGTCCTTGGGTGTCCCCGTTGGGCCCAGAGAGTCTGCTGGGGCTCTCGGGAGGTCGACCCCCGCCCACTTTTGAGTCATTTAGAGGAGAGGAGAAGAAGTGGGGGGATCCTCCCGGGAGGGGGGGTTGGGAATGGCTGGGAGGGGGTCGTTTAAGAGGGGAGGGAGTGGGGGTTGTTGGTCCCCCACCTGGGGCGGCTTGGGAAATGATGGGAGGGGTCGTTTAGAGGAGATGAGGGGCGCTGGGAGGGCCTTTAGAGGGGTTTGGGGGTGGTGGGTGGTCCCCCACCTGGAGGAAGAGTTGGGAAAAGGTGGGAGAGGGTCTTTAGAGGTGGGAGGGGTCGTTTAGAGGAGATGAGGGGCGCTGGGAGGGCCTTTAGAGGGGTTTGGGGGTGCTGGGTGGTCCCCCACCTGGGGGAAGAGTTGGGAAAAGGTGGGAGAGGGTCTTTAGAGGTGGGAGGGGGTCCTTTAGAGGAGAGGGGAAGAACTGTGTGTGTGTGGGGGGGTCCTCCCTGGGAGGTTGGGAAGAACTGGGAGGGGGTCGTTTAAGAGGGGAGGGAGTGGGGGTTGTTGGTCCCCCACCTGGGGCGGCTTGGGAAATGATGGGAGGGGTCGTTTAAAGGAGATATGGGGCGCTGGGAGGGCCTTTAGAGGGGTTTGGGGGTGCTGGGTGGTCCCCCACCTGGGGGAAGAGTTGGGAAAAGGTGGGAGAGGGTCTT